CATTGTCATCCTCGATCTGGATCTCCTCCTCGCACACAGTGCTCCAGAACTCCACGGCCAACTTAGCGACGTCCTCGTCTGAAGACTTCATGCCCAGAATGGTGAGGCCGAACAGCGCCTTCTCCATGTAGAAGCGCATGTTGTCGTAGTAGAGACCCATGATACGGTTGAGGCAGCCAAAGGCACCCTGCTGTATTCTGGAGTCATCGGCCTGGGTGGCCTCGCAGACGACCTGCATGATGTAGTTGCGCTCGCCCTCGTGCTTGAAGTTGTTGCCGACAAACTCAAGCGAGTCGCCGAGAGCCGTGATAGCGGCCAGGCGGACCTCGAGGCTCGTCTCCTCCTTGCGGGCACCCTGGACGACGGCGGTCAAGATGGCGTTGGAGTGGGCAATAAGGGCGGTGCGCAGATCGGCATCTTGGCTTTCGCAAATGTAACCGATTGTGGTGAGGGAGGCCTGCTTCTGGTGCTCGGCGCCCTCGCTGACGTTCTTAACCAGAATGCTCATCAGGTCCTGCCACTGGTTCCTGGGGAGCTCGAGGCCGGCGATGGAGGAGATGACCTGGGCGGCGGCCTGGCCAGCCTGGCTGTTGGAGGAGGCCAGTGTTTGCAGGGTCAAGTTCTTGACCTGCGTCTTCGTCTCGTCGTCTGTCTGCTGGAGCCATTTTGTCTGAAGTTCTTGATGGCGGTTGAAGTCACGGGCGGTGAAGGCGTTCTTGAGGGCGAGACCGGCGGCAGCACGGATGGAACCATCCGCGCTCTCGTTTGCAAGCTCCTGAACGAGGGTTGCGAGGTATAGGGGCTGTTGGGGAGGCGAGCGAGGTTAGCAAAAACTTGATCGAAGCGGTGGGGGGAGGCAAAGGGGAGGGACTCGGGGATCCGAAAGTGGGCGGGCACGTACGAAGTTGTTCTCGGCGGCTGATGTGAGTTGCTGCTCGGCAGCGTTGCGCAAGTTCGCGTCTGGTCATGAAATGTCAGCCTCGTCATCTTCTATAGGTCGTTCGTGATGCGCGTTGGGGGTGAGGAGCCAAGAGAAGGGCAGGATCTGTCTCATCGCCGTAGCGACCAGGGTGGGTTCGATGGATGGCAACGGCGACGAGGCAACTCGGGGGAGAAAGAGAGAAGTGCAGCGACGTAGGAGAAGGGACAGCGAGGATGTAAAACTTACCAGGCGACAGCGAATTGGCCAAAACCTGGTTGATCTCTGAGCTCGACATGATTGCGGCTCAATGTGGTGTGTAGCAGGAAGTGAAAGGCCGAGCCAGTGCCAGTGTTGAGAGGTAGCAGGTCAGGTTCGGAGGGGGGGCTCGTTGACAGGTTGCACGTGTCAGGAGGTGGGAGAGGAAGGGTTCAAGGCACCGCACCTCAGGGTCAGCAGCAGCACGGGAGACGCGGGGGTGGTTTGTTTTTTTGCGGTCTGGGAGCCGGCAGCAGCCTAGGCGAGAGGAAGGTTCAGAGTTCGCGCGGCAAGGCGGGCGCAGAAAGGTACGGTCCGGGGGTGGGCGGCGGTACTCTGTTTGGTTGTAGAGAGACGAGAGAGCGGCAGAGAAAGGAGAAGAAGAAGAGACCGAACAACGGCGCGGAGAGAGTGAGAGTATGAGAGAGTTTGTTGTGGTGAGTGAGAGATAGCGAGAGGGAGAGAAATTTCGCTGCTCTGTGGTATCCGTATTAAAATAACGAGTCTTGTCGAAAAGTGACTTTCGGGGACACGACGGAGGATGGATGATGGCTTTTTTTGGCAAAGGAATTAGATGCGTACCGGTTAAAGGAAAAATAAGTTGGTCGCAACAACAACACAACAGACGAGAGGGAAAAGTTGTGAGTAATGTCAGGTTTTTTCCTTGGGTCTCTCTCTCTTTTTGGACGAAAAGCAGCAGGAAGGAGGAGAAAAAAATAATAGGGAGCGGGACCTCTGGGCAGGCGAGGTTGTTGACGATCAGAGGACGGGGGAGGGGAGCTGGGTTGCCTTTCAGTGTGACTGGTTCGTTCCTCCTCCTTTTGCTGGGCTTTCAGCAGGTGCTCTGCTGTGTCTGCGGGAGAGACAGCAGCAGCGCGGCAGGAGGGGCAGCAGGGGATCGATCAGTGCAATGTAGCGGCGGATGGCATGCAGGCAGGTTTCTTAGCAGACTGGACATCCCAGGTAGGTACCTGATTGTCTGCCTGCCCGGTATGAATGGAAGGTAATTATCGCTGCTTCTCCAGGCGGCAGCAGGTGCACGACAAGGCAGGGAAGGAAGGTGCCGTACCGTCCCGGGTAGCGGTTTCTTTCTTTGGCACCAGAGGACGGGAGTCCAGTCCAGTCCCAGTCCAGTCCCAGTCCAGTCGCTAAGGTACCGTAATTACCTTGCCCTCTGGGTACGGGCAGTGAGAGGTCCAGGTATTCTGGCCCAACCAACCGGCCTATGCAATACAGTGCGTCCTTTGGCTGGCTGGATGTAGCCGGGAGCCGCTGCTCGCTGGGTAAGGTACTTCAGGCTTAGGTCGAAAAAGTGGGCGGCACGAGATGGCGTTAAATGAGTGTGGGGAAGGAGAAGAGCTTCTGATGCAAAAAACCGAGGAGGGGTTGTTTCTCTCTGCTTCTAGCCTGCACTCCTTTTTGATGCGACCGACTCCTGCACTCTGCAAAAAGCTGCCCGACGACTGGGACCTGATACTCCGGGGCAGGTAGGAAGAGAATGAGCATCCAGTCGTTTGAGTCTCATTTTCTTTGCTATCCCAAATCTTATCTATTACCATATGAATGTCCATCAAAAAGGCGCTGACGACAGTCGCAACGCAGAAAAAAACAAAACAAACTGGATGCGGGACATTTGTTTTTTCCTTTCCTATTGCGGCCATCTCTCGGGCACAGTGCACAAAAGAAAAAAGCTCAGACCAAGCGCTACGTATCCGTCCTCTGCCTGAGAGAGAGAAAAAAGACACCCATTCCCCGCTACGTCCCCATCATCCACTACCTCTCTCGCCACCTGTCCTCTGCAGCGCCCTCCTGTACCTCACGATGCACCTCTAAGCCGGATCAAGTGTCAAGCCCCCCACCGCATCCCATCTCACGAACCAAACAGTGAGGCTAAACCCCCCTAACAGGTACGACCAGAACCCCACACCTGCGAAAGGGGAGGAGGGGTTCCGGAACTGCTAGAGTCAGCCAAGCCTCACTCACTCACGCACTGAGTCTTCGTTCACTCTCATCCACTGGACAGTATCTCCCAATTATCCCGTCCAGGGTTGCATCTGCATCTTCTACCCTTTGAGCCCAGCTACATCCAATTTGTGGAGGTTTACGCCACACTATGAAAATTCTATTTATACTTTGATAGATGCTTACTATGCATTATGATACTATTTATAATAACTAGGAAAGCTTTAATCTAGGTTTATAAGAATATTATTAATAACCTTAATAGCCTATAGATAACTCACTATATAAGATTATATAGGAGGAAGAATATAGGTTTTCCTCTACTTATTAACTATCCCTAATAAGATTAACTTATTATAATTAAACTTATTAGAATACTTATTACTAAATTAATAAACTAGAAAATAAAATAGAAAGTTAATTTTATTACTTTTATAAGAAAGTATAAATAATACCTCTAAATCGCTATTAATAATATAAGCTTTAATATTAGATCTTTAGATAAGTCTAAGGATAAATATTATTACTAAATATTTATCTATTAAATTACTATATACTTCTTTTCTAAATCTAGTAATATTAAAAGTATTAATACTTATAAAAAGGACTAGAAGAAACTTTATAGGAAGCTTAGATATAATAAGAAGATAAAAGAGGTTTAGAATAAGCTTAACGAGCTAGATAAATATAAAGAATATAAGAATAAGGTAATCGTAGCGATCGCTATAATCCTCCCTAACTATTAAAGCTGACTGGGGAGCGAGAAGCGAAGGGAGAAGGGAAAAGGGGGGGGGGGGGTTGCAAGGGTAGCCTGCGTGCTGGCAGAGTTTCCAAAAAGTACACTTTAATACACTATGTCACTTCACAGTGAGGTTGCATCTGCATGTCCTTGGTTGCCGGGGCTGCCGCTGCGCGGTTGCTCATCTCGTGCAGGATGCAGAAAAAGCCAAAAGGAAGATACGGTGTGTGGTGTGTGACTGACTGACTGTGTGAGAAAGTGTGTGTGTGTGGGTGGTCCGAAACAATCTGCTGCTGCGGAGGAGGAACAAAAGAGAGCAGCCAGACGGCAGCAAACCAAGCCTGCAGGTCAAGTGACAAGAAACCAACATCTTAAAAAAAATATTGCCCCTCGTTTCGTACGCAGTCTCGGTTTGGCGGGGGGTGCCAGAAAAGCAGTCATCTCAAAAGCCAACCAATCCATTCCCCCTCCTTTTTCAGACCACACACGCACAGCAGAAACCGTGACGTCCGGGAAAGGGGACACAAGAAAGCAAGATAAGCTAAACAAGATTGAGACGAGCCGCCTGCCGCTGCCTGACCTTGCCCTGTCCGTGGTCAATGTCATTGCCGATTTTTGCTCACCCTACCCAGAGAGCAATGCGTAAGGCTACCCGCCCGCGTTTCCTTGCTGCCACCGGTTTTGTGGTTGGGTGACAGCCTATCCGAGCCCCCGAGTCAGACGTCATCCTGCTCATCAGGTTTCCAGGCAGCCGGATCCGAACGTGGCCCTTTTTCGTTTCCCGCTGGCAATTAGGAAATACGATCATGGCCCGGGCCACCACCTCCCACTCACCCCTATCATTATTATTTCCCTTCACCGGCTGCATAAGGTTGACATTATGTGAAGCACTGATCCAGATGACTCATGCCCAATTCAAATGCTTTTCATTCGTTCGTTGGAATCAAACAAAACAACCCTTTCATACAAGTAAAAATCGGCCATCAAGTCCAAAGTGTGGGCTTACATGGCCATGCGAGCAGCATCTTCCTCATGTCCCATTTTTGATGTCACCGAAAATGCATCTCAACCAAAACTTTTTGCCTCGTCCATATGCCTCACCAACTGGATGCCCCCACTCCCTTACATGCCGTTCGCCTTCTCTTCCAGAGCCGCAACAATGTTCGGCGTCTGCCCGTTGGTACCGTTCGTAGGCTCGAGGTCCAGCTCTTGGCTCAGAGACCTGGTCGGGATGGGCTTGGCCAGGATAGGGCTACCGGGGCGGCTGCCAACAAACTGCAGAGATCTTTGTTAGCACGGGACTCAATATCTTATCAAACGATGGCACTCACGTTGCTGGCGGCACTCAGGAGGGCAATCAGAGAGCTCTGGACCACATCCTCGTGAATACCGATACCCCAGTACTTCTGCTTGGTGCCCGTGGCGGTGCACTCGATGTACGTAGCAGCCTTGACATCGCGACCGGCACCAATAGCGTGCTCCTTGTAATCCTCGACGTCCAGGTTGATGCCAACGCTCTTCAAGGCGTTCGCCAAACTGGAGATGGGACCGTTACCGCGTCCGCGCAACTGGTACTCCTTTCCGTCGATCGAAACCACACCCTCGAATACTCTCTTCAGGTTCTTGGTGTCTTGCGTCTTGCCAGGCGCAGGCGGCGCGGGGCTCTGCGAACGGTCGGGGGTAATGCTGTAGTCCACAATCGTGAATCTTGGGTTCTCGCGGAGGAAGTAAGTCTGCTCAAACAGATCCGTGATCTCCTCCGACAGAAGCTCGCGACCAAGACCGTCGGCCTTGTCCTGAACGACCTTGGAGAACGCAACTTGAAGCCCGCGGGGCAGGTCAAGCTGCAGCTTGCGCAGAATGATCCATGCAGCACCTCCCTTGCCGCTCTGGGAGTTGACACGGATGATGGCCTCGTATGTGCGGCCAATGTCGGCGGGGTCGAGGGGGAGGTAGGGAACCTGCCAGCGGTCCTCGTTTGTCTTGCCCTCCTTCTCGCGCATCTGGAAACCCTTCTTGATGGCGTCTTGGTGGGATCCTGAGAAGGCACACACAACGAGGGATCCGCCGTACGGCGCACGGGGGTGTACTGGAATCTTGTTGCAAGTCTCAACCATGTCGATGACGCGGTTGATATCAGAAAAGTCCACGTTGGGAGAAATTCCTTGCGTGTAGAGGTTCAGGGCGAGGGTGACGAGATCGACGTTACCAGTGCGCTCGCCGTTGCCAAACAGACAACCCTCGACTCTGTCGGCGCCGGCCAGCATAGCCAGAGAGCTAGCTCCCGCTGCCTCTCCGCGGTCGTTGTGGGGGTGGATAGAGACGGAGATCTTCTCGCGCTCGCTCATGTTGCGGCAGAAGTATTCGATCTGGTCAGCGTAGATATTAGGCGTAGCCATCTCGACGGTGGCGGGCAGGTTGAAAATGATGGGAACCTCAACAGAGGGCTCCCACGCGGCCTTGACGGCCTCGCAGATGCGGACGACAAACTCGGGCGAGGTGTCGGAGAAGGTCTCGGGGGAGAACTCGAACTGCCAGTTCGTGCCGGCCTGGGCGGGGTCGTCCTTGGTGAGGGAGCGGACGAGCTTGGCGCAGCGGACGGCGAGCTCGACGCTCTCGTCCTCGGAGAAGCCGAAGATGACGCGGCGGAAGCACTCGCTCGTGGCGAGGTAGATGTGGACGATGGCGTTCTTGGCGCCCTTGAGGGACTCGACCGTCCTCTTGATGAGGTCCTCGCGGCAGGGGGACAGGACCTGGAGGTATACGTCGTCGGGGACGGCGCCGGGGGTCTCGATCAGGCGGCGGGTGAAGTCGAAGTCGGTCTGGGAGGCGGAGGGGAAGGAGACCTCGATCTCCTTGTAGCCGAGCTCGCACAGCATCTTGAAGTAGCGCCACTTCTCGTCGCCGTTCTGTGTTTCGAGACAACCGTTAGCGCTGGTGGTACTTTGGACTACTGAAACTGGCCGAGGCCACGAATTGCTTGGGCTTCGTCGTGTAAATTAATTGAAGAGGTGAGGGAGTGACATGCCATTGGGTCGACCAAGCTCTGGTTGCCATCACGCAAATCTGTCGACAGCCATCGCGGGGCTTTTGTGATGGTCTTGTCGGGCCATTGGCGGTCCTTGAGCTTGAGGGGAGGGAAGGGCTTGTATTTTGTCGACGGATCCTTGAGCCTGCACGCGAGAAGCAGATTGTCAGCGTCTCAAGTTTTTCCAAGAGCGTCATGTTGTGTGATTTTGGGGGTTCGTCCATTGAGTCACCTACATCGGCATCTTGGGCTGGGTGCGGGGCAGATTTCGCGGGGGAGGTGTAAGTAAAGACGGATCGGTTCCGTGTGCTGGGAGAGAAGAGAGAGTGACCTGCTAGAATTGGAGGCTCTCAAGCAGGAGAAAAGGTATTTGTAGCAAAGTCGTCAACAGAGAGAAAGATCGCAGTCATAAAAGGGGAGAAAGGAGAGGGAAAGATTGAGTCACAAGGTTCGCGGTCGCAAAGAGTCGGGCTACGAAGACGGAGGAGCACCTACCTGCTGCTCAATGACAGGCAGCCCACCCTTGGATTTTTTTTTGATTTTTCCCCCCTCCACCACCAAAAACGGCTGCGCAGTACGTACACTGCCGACCCAAGTTCCTTACAATTTACTTGTCACTGAATATTCGATTCGCCCCTACTCATACCTAACCCGCGCTACTCGCTGCAAGCTTGCATTTCAGAAGGCAATAAAACGGAATCCCGCAGCAACGGTCCCAATTTATTCAAGCACTTCCAATGGCTCCGGGCTGCATTGTATGCCGGCCGGGAGGAACGATCAAACGATACACGCAGCTAGACGCTGGACGGGACGGCAGAACGGGTGATCAGTGTGTGTATTCCTCCCCCGCGATCGCTCCCGTCAAGTCGTACGCAGGGCGCAAGGGCGCATTGGCATCGGATTGGACCTCTGTTCGATTCGAAAATTTTCAACTTTTTTTCAGGTCTTCTCCAAATCAATGTCATTGGAGTGGGGCCCAGTTCCGAGTCCCCGCGTCCTGTAGGTCCGACATACGGTCATTTTGATTGGTCTAAATTGCAGCATTGGCCGGCTGCGGATGGCGGGGTTGCACCAGTCCGCAATTGCACCACACCAACAACCCCGTCTCTCTCTCGCCTTGCTTTTTCCTGTGAAGACGGACTGCACGAGGGCGCAAATGACGGGGTCTTCCCTTCAGTCCTCAAACCGCCATTCATCGACCTCATTGCTGCCCGTCCCCCCAAAAGCCAATGACGCGAGGCAATGGTTAATTGGTCAACTTTGCCTCAGCTTCACCTCGACCTTTGCCGGCTGACCTCCCCGTCTGATGTAGCCGTCCAGAGCTGCATATCCCAAACTGACTCGACCGCCTTGCGTTGGCCCGAGAACATTGCAAACAGCTTAGTCACATGAACTCCCTTCGCAGTCCACTCCCAGCAAATGAAGCCATTCTCATCGTCAACGTCGACAATGGAGCACGCCCATGGACCAGACATCTTCCAATATGCCGACAATACCCGTCCGCTGGACGTCCGAACATCGGCTCGTGGGCCCGTCGAACTTTTCCGGTATCAACTCCCCCACGGCCGACTTATCAGCAGCCCGGAACCGTCGGCGGTGGACACCGCCATCCCTGCTCCAAGCCCCGATGACCGGCCGGATAGCTTCGCTACGTCGTGGGGCCTCTGTTGCGGACGACAGACGTCAGTCATCCATCGGTCTGCCTCCAAGCCATGCTGCCTCACCGCGGTTTTCCCCACGATGGATGATACTTGGAGGCTGATCAGCATGCTCCATCCCGTTTCTTCTTCCAATTGCAAAGGGCGTATTTGAACCGCTCATGTCGAGCCCTTGCATGTCTACCCCAGGAGGAGAGCCTTGAGTGTGACTCCCGTCGATTGCCGTGTCGTGGAGCTCAATTTTGACGACATGCTCGTCGTTAAGCCGACTTGATGCGAGGTAGAATTTGAACTTTGTCGATTCAACGTGCCAATGCCCTAAATGAGACCCGTCCCTTCATCTTGTATACGGCCCTGGGAAAGCCCGTCTCCTCGACCAACGGGCCATCCTCCGGTTCTCTTCAAAAATATGGACTGCAATTCCCTACGGCATAAAGCAAGAGTCACCTCACGCTGTAGTTACCCACGTCGAGCTAACTGGGGGACTGCCGCGAAATCTTGAACCCCCGAGCTCCATCCGGGGGGCATCTTAGCAGTGACTCACCCACAATCCCTGGGCCGTCTTCAGCCTCGCATGCCACTCTCCATACCCTCCCCTCCTATCACCCCACACTCCAAGACCATCCTCCCCTTACCTCGGCTCCTGTGCATATACCCCCGGCGAGACGATCACCAGAAGAGAGACAGACGCTCATCGCCTTCTCCATCTAAGCCGCCGCAAGCAACCACCGCCGTTGACCCGGAGGAAATGAGTCACTCCCACATGTCTCAGCCGCGGCCCGTCCCTCATACCCACATCCGCCAGCCATATCTCAACAACTTGACGCTTTCAGAGTCATCCAACCCAGTCCGGGGGCCAGCCATCACATACAGACATGAATATGACGACTCACAAGCAATAGGAAGCACAAAGATCACACATATCACCAGCAAGAGAAGGACCAAAAGAGGTTTGTTTGAAATCCGATTTTTAGACGTCTCGTCTATACTCTATCTTCATGAGCAGGTGCTATGTACAACCAAGCACATTACATCTCAAAGATGTCCGATGTGGACAAGATGTACTTTTTGGTGCTGGTGTCTGCTGTAGTGGGGGGGATATATACGTTCCAACAATTAGACAAAAAGGCTTTTCCCTCTCCACGAAGGGAGGGGAAAGCCAGAAACAAGAGAGAGATGCGGGAAAAGGCCCATCTTCGAGAAACGAGATGCGTGGAAGTTTCCAAGTCCGAGAGAGACCAAAATCCTCCACTCATCCAACCCATCCCGAGAAGATAACCAACCCCGATGCCAGGAAAAAGCGTTGGTATGAGAAATATGTACAACACAAGAAGTTTAGGAGGCGAGCCCATTATGACAAGAGACGCAGCGGCCGTGAGGTGTAACCATCGTCACCCATGTCGGAAAAACAGAAGTCGCAAGAAAACCACCAAACATTCAAAAGAAGAATCCCCGCCGCTTTTTATCGTTCGTCCCTTTCCTTTGCGTGGAATAAAATGAAGTCGCTTGGTACCGTTGACGCCCAAAGATGAATTCGTTTCTGCTCGGAGATGGATGGAGAGTGTATTACCACGTGAAGCTCTCCTCGACGAAATCGACCACCGTGCCGTGGTCCTGGACCCCTCTTACCGCGGAGCGCACATCGTCAGCGAGCGCACCCGGGCCGCAGATGGTCACGCACATGGCGCCCATCTGCTCCCTAACCTCGCGCTCCATAATCTGGGGGATGTTGGGGCGGCCGGGGAACATCTGGACCGTCGTCGAGGCGGAGACGATCTGCTGCGGGTTCTGCGGGCGGGTGATGTAGAGGTGGATACGCAGAATGTCCTTGCGGTTGGGGAGGCGGAGGACGGTGTCCATCCAGGGGCGGACCCACTCGAGGGCCTCGTAGTCGCGGACGATCCAGACGAGGGTGATGCGGCGGGTGGCGACGCTGCCGTTGTTGTAGCCGTCGATGAGGGGCTTCAGGTAGGACATCTGGTGGGTGATGCCCGTGGCGCCAGCGAAGAGGACGGCGTGGCCGTATGAGTTCAGCGAATGGTGGCCTGCGTAGGGGCCCTCGAGGCAGGCTCTCATACGGATGGCGGTCTGACCGCTCTGGCTGGCGACGTTGTACAGGTCGCGGGTGAAACCACTGTGGGCGCCGATGATGAAGGAGACGGATGTCGTGTGGCGCTTCTTGTCGATGTGGGTGAGGCAGGCCTTCTCCTCGTCGAGATGGAGGGAATTGCGGTCGGGGATGTGCTCGACCCAGGCGACGGAGAAGGGGTGGCAGTCCCAGGGGCGGATGTCCTTGAAGCGCAGGTAGCAGTGGGTGCCGGGCTTGACGTCAACGTAGCGGGGGAGGTTAATGGTGACGCGGGTGGTCTCTCCGGGGCAAGGCTCGACGATGGCGTCGGAAACACCGCGGTCGGACCAGTTCATGTAGGCGACGCGGACGATACGGGCCATGCGCTCGAGGAACCAAAGGATGAAGATGGCAATCATCCAGGGCAGCTGGGGGAGGCCACCAGGAAGACCGGCGACGGCGCAGTGGATGTAGGTCATCAGGAAGATGAAGAAGGCGAGGATGATGTGAACGTTGAGGAAGATCTCGTAGAAGGCGTGGCGGACCGGAGAGACTGAGAGGATCATGATGACCGTCAGGGCGATAGTGCCAGCCATACCGGATCCGATGAAGAGCTCGTTCGACATTCTATACCAAACGCCCTCCCATCCGCTGTCGGCAACCTGGACAATCATCCAGGCGATGGTGTGGAGAATGGCCTCAATGACGGACATGCGACCAACCCATCGGTGGAGAAGGTTGTAAGTGTCGAAGCTGACGTGCAGCATGCCGATCAACGGGTTGTTGCGGCCGGCGAGGATGATCAGCGGGACCATGTTGACGACGGAGAGGGTTCCGGAACGGCCACGGAGCTCGGCGCAGAAGGAGTACATGTTCTTGTTCTCCCAGTTGAGGAAGAACATGTAGACCATGTTGCTGGCGATGTAGATGAAGAGGATGAAGGCGTGCATGCGCGAGGGCAGGGTTCCGATGCCGATGGTGGACAGCTTGATCTCCTTGTTGTGACGCTTGTTCCAGAGGGGGGCATACATGAGATGCTTCTTCATGCTCGGCATCCAGCTCCATTGGGTTGTCTTCCAGTAGTGTTGTCTGTCACCGTCGACGTTCATGGCGTTGACATGACGGAGCTGAGCCCAGAGGATGCGGCTGATCGTGATGACGAGGACGATGACGGCCATGCCGCCAAATGTCAGCCAGAGCGTGTCCTTGAACAGCATGTTGACGGGCTGGTTGACACCAGCGAGGTTGGAGTGGTAGGGGGAGATGGTTGAGGAAGCCTCAGCCGCATCGGTGCTCTCCGTCGAGCCGGAGCGCTCGACGAGTGCCGCTGTGGGGATCATATCCGCCACCAAGCCGGCGATCCTGCGCCGGTGCATATCCATTTGATCTGATTTTCTGTCGTTTGCTGATGACTCTCAAAGTCAATGTGGTTAAGAGAAGGGGTATTTGTCGTCGTTCCCGAGTAGAGTGGGCTGGATCGGTCAGGGATGGTAGTCCAAGTCCAGGTCCAGGCTTTTCTGTTGCAAGGTTGCCGCAACGTAGGAAAAAGGCAGGTTTGCTAGAATCGTCCGGCAAAGCTCGAAAGAGAGAGAAGGCGGCGTACTGTTATTGGGGGTTGAGGTCGAGGCACAATGTCATTGTGTGGTGGTGATACAAGCCAGTGACAAAGGGTGGACCGGGATGACAGCAAGCCTGTTCCAAAGCAGTGAGGCCTTTGAAAGTACCGGCACAGTGTGTCGAATATGACGTGCAGTGAGTCGGCGCAGGTGTTGTTTGGGGTGACCAAGGAATGCGACCAACCTCGGAGTGAGAGGATGCGATGGTGGTGAGTGCGTAAGTGGTGGTGCTGGTCACGTCTCTGACGAGATTTTGGGTCGGGCGATGGGGAGCTGCAGCTAGGCTTGAGATCCTCGTGCTGATCTTTTTTCCTTCACTCCACGCTGGAAGGTTGGCTGCGGTGGGAGTGATGGCGATCCCAACAAGGCTAGGACGATCTGAATCTGGCCGAGCAAGGAGGCGGAAGGCGAGCTTTGACTGACTGAGCTGATGATGGGCTCAGTGGCTTTGGCGATTGACGTATTGGGGGAAGGGACGGAAGCGACGTCAATATATTTGTGCGTCTCTTAGCTGACTTGCTTCGCAGGGTCTCGTGCCGCGTCCTTTTCGGGATCTAGAAGCCGGTATCCTCGTGTGTGTTGTGATGTGGGGAACCACGCAGAAAAGGTGAGTGAATGAGAGGGAAGGAATGAGGGTATCCTTCTCCTATGGGAATCAGAAAAAAAATATGACAAAGCCCTTTTTTCGATTTGCGGGATGACGAATGAACTGGAACAAGGCGAGCCGTTGGACCGTTTGAATTTTTTTCGGATTGGTGTTGTGGCGTTGGTGATGTCTTGAAGAGGGAGTGAGTGGGAAGAAAACGAGTGTAGACCGCCTCTGACGGAGCTGTTGGTAGCGAAGGGAAGGAACGAGCTGTGGATCTCGAGATGAAAAACCCGAGAACAAGCTGGTTCAGAAGTGTCGCGTGGTGGATTCAGCTAGTGAATCTCACGGGACGGTTGAAATGAGCGAAGCGAAAATATCGCGAAAGTGGTCGAACCGGGCGTGGGTTGCGGAAAAAAGACAGAGAGAGAGACGAGGTTGACGGGAGGTGGTGAAGGAAGGCGCGATTGGCGGCGGTGCGGGTGCGGGTGCGCCCAGTGGCAGTGGTGTGTAAGTTCCTGGGTGAGGTCGGGGGGTCGGCGGTCGAGGCAGGGTCGGTCGGGGCCACGGCCGTTGTTTCCGTATTTTTAAAGGGGGGAAGGAACCTGAGCGACCTGTGGAAGGGCCGACGGGAGGGCGGAGAGGGCTGTGTTTTTCTTGGTACACTACAGAATAGTGCAAATGACCGCAAGGTGAATCAACACAAGCAGTGCCAATCCGTATGAATGTATCTGCCAGTCAAGTCCAGTCCAGTCAGGCCTTGTTTTTCTTCTCGATGCCCCGGGCGTGTATGTGTGTGTGCGTTGTTCTTCGTTGCAGTGGCGTCTCCTCAAAAATAAGATATGGTCTCCAGAAACCGTCTCTTTCTCGCAAGCAATAAAACTGTCCAGCCTCTTTTCTTTCAAAGAAGTGTTCGAATAAGAAAGAATAGTCGAATTCCAGCAAACGGGGTCTCACAGAAAATAGGTCAGCAGTGACGATCCTCGAGGGAAGGGAAAAAGAGAAACAGAGAGTGGTTGGGATGTGGTCCACGCCGGGCCGTGGAGAGAGGCTGCCGTGGTACTTTTATGAGAGGCGTTTCCCTTCACATCTTTCTCACTCTCTCTGTCTCTCTATGCCATGTACGTGCCGTGAGGAGGCCGGGGGACCCACGGTAGCGCCGCCGAGAGGCTCCTCTTAGTTCCTCTGCAAGTCTCCTTCGAGGGGCCCTCACTGGGTCTGCTCTTTTGGGGGCCTGGACTGCATGCTGCTGCTGCTGGCTAGCTGGGAGGGCCGTCAAGGGTGAGGGCAGGGTGCATTCCCCCTGATGGGTGGCGTGCAAGGGACGAACGGGAATGACTGGATCGCCTGGGCCATCTATTCGCAGCCTACGAATCGTTCTTGACAGGCGTCTCCGGGAGAAAGATACATCGGTGCCCTGCCTGGCTCAGCTGGCTCGGCAAGTATCCGTCCATCTTCTCTTCCCATCCTTCCATGCCGTCTTCAAGAAGAAGGACGTCTACGGTCTGCGCTACGCAAAGATAAGGCTAGGCAGGGCATTGGCAGGGCATTGGCAGCGCCGCTAGGTACCTGCGTTGCCGTACATACGCGGCGCGCTAGCCATGTACCCCTTTTCGCCCTCGGCGCGGCTATTCTAGCTTGTACTTCCTGTGCTACTTGCAGTCTTCCAGATACGAACAACCCCAATGACACTGAGGCGTGTTCACCTGTAGCATACATATTCAGACGCGCATGTCCTTCTGGCTGCCAACAGCCCGAAAAGGACGCTCCTCCCAGGGATGCCGCGAGAACATCTGCCCATCTCGCCGTCAGTCTAACCCAATCCCGCGCCTCAGTGAGCTGGAATGGAATCACTGCGCCTTGCTCATCGGCCCACGCATCGGCTCCTGCTCACGCCAGTGCCAACAGATGACCCTGGCGGAGATATGAGATGGAGCAGGCAAGCAAGAAGAGAGAAAATCAGAGCCAGGTCAAGCAAAGCAAGTCCGCGGTCCAACGAGCAGCCGCTAAAGTGGGAGGCCCAGCACTTTGCCCAAGACTCGAGTGGGCGAGGAAAGGAGGGGTTGCCAACAGGGAAGGGCTGGACAGGCAGGGATGGCACTGACAGGGGATACGTACATCCTGTACCTCTTCATTATTAGGTGTATGGGTTGCACTATGAAAATCCATGGACAGGTACACAGCGAGCGGCGATCCCTTGTTGCCAATCACCAAGATCCAATGTCACCGTTCGCTGAGGCTGTGGAGGGGTCTCCCCTGGCTGCTTGGGTTTGCTGATTACCATGATTTTCATTCGCTTCCCTCGCCTCTCTACACCTTAATTGTTCTTCCGGGAAGCGAAGGCTGCTGTGTCGTCGTCGCATCTTGCAAAGTAGGACAAACTGTAACTGGATGTCTGAGTGCTGACTGTTTGCCAAATCGGACGACTGGCTGGAATGAAGAAGGGATCGGATGTCTCTATTCTGCGCCGTTGAATCCTCCGTGACGAATGGTCTCGCACCGGCACGGCTCAATCGGATGATCAGAGACAGGACCCCTTCCCGTCAGCAGTCGTCCACAACTGAGAAGGAAACCAAAGATGAATTGGCATCCTGAGCAAGCACTGCAGGATGCACGAGAACCACCGCGTGCTTGGCGAAAATCAGGAACACGAAACAGCTGACTGGTTTGCATTTCTCGGTTTGACTGGCTCTGGCGGACTGCGTCTGTGGCTTGCTGCTGGCCGATTTCAACAGGCCGCGTTCCCTGGCCAAACGCGCAGTCTGAATGGTCCAGTGTTTACCGGGCTGCTCGCCATCGTCTCGGCCCCTGGGGCCTTCGACTGGTCAGAACTGCGCCGTTCCTGACTCCGTCCCCTGCGTCAGCTCACCGTGTGCTGAACGCTGACTGGACCACGGGCGAGCCAAAGGCGAAAGGGCTTGACAACTGACAGCGCTGTCTGGCGGGTTCACCCAGGGTGACTGCGGCCTGCCAGCAAATGACAGGGGAAAAGACCGGATGAACAGGGACGGGGGAGCGGTCGCTTCGGTCGCGCAGAGCCAATGGCCAGGTGCCAACCCGAGAACACCAAGAAAGCCAAGACGAGCAGCCAATCCTTTGCTCGCACCTCTGTTCGTTCGGTGGGGATGGGTGATCCTGAACCTGAACCCGACATGCTTCTTTCTGCACATGGCATGGAAATGATGACCAACATGCACAACCTCAAGGGGTCACCGAGGACTTGCTGGTCTTTTTCTCGGTCGATTTTCTGGGCCTCTCTGGGCCTCTCATCCACTGCCCAGCCGCCCTGGAGCACGCCCAATGACTGGAGCGGCATGCCAACAACTGGCTGGGAGGCACCCGTCCAGACCGTTGCGTTTGTTCACCCCGTGCAGTCATTCGAAACCCTATTGTCGAGAACCTGCACGCTTGTTGGCCCATGACCACCACAGGCGATTATTCCGAAGCGAGAGACACCACAGACTAGTTAGCTTTTCAGTCCATCCGTTTCTCGTCCGAGTCCCCTTTTGGGGGGAAAAGGGAAAGATCTCGGGGTAGGGTCTGTCGATTGTTTCCATCGCTCGTCCGCCCCCTCGGGTCCCTTGTCTGGGACACGCTGCCCGTCCAGAGACAGAAGGAAACCGTTGCGCCGGGCGCCACGAGGCCCAACGTTGCGTGCCCCAAGATCCGACCAAGATATCCGTACCCAGTCGCACTCCGGCTGCAACGCATACACGAGACGACACTACGCTCGATCCTGCGTAGTGCGTCCTGTTTCCCGTCTGGAAGAAGAAGGGCTCCCGAATTCCGGTGGTGCATGTGGGAACCGGTGACACGGACGTCGTGCACCACATTCCTTACGGGGCGCCAAAAGATGCGCAGATATCGGCGTGTACCCATCTTTTGCTCAATCCTTCCCTTCCGCGGAACAGCAAGCTGGAAAACACGGCAACTGACGTTCGGTTCCAAGGTGTCATTAAGATGGACTCAAGTGACAGCTCCGACGGATACGGTAACCTTTGGAGGAGGGGGGATGACGAAAATTCTTTGACAGTTGGGAGAACCAGTCGTCCGTCAGACTCCCGCAGCATGTGAAGCAGCCCCTCACAATTCAATCAACGGACCCGTCTCAGCCATAATGCTGTGCCGTGCTTCTCGGCCGATTGAGCCGTGGCATTCATTTGACGCCATCTGACGACAT